TGTTTACATACAATGCATAGATTAAAATTATGTAATTATTCATCGACTTTATGACTGGATAAACAGTTTACTAATTTTATAAGTTAAAAATGCGAGTTTGAAATAATAATTTTTCCTTAACTACGTAGCACAGTAAATGATTATTTTCTAGAAATTAATTAAACGGCGGCCGGATAGACAAGTCTGTTTTGAAGCTGCCCTTCGAAAGATACCAGAGGATTCGATTCGAATTTGAATTTGAGACAGATTACCGGGAATCCACGGGTAGCCTGACCATATTCCCTAACATTCCATGCTTCGTTGTGGATTTAATTGAACTCTTAATTAATTATTAAAGAACTAACAAAACTTTTCGTAATGTTTGGAACCAAAAAAGAATACCAAAAATAAATAAATAAATTATTAAAATTAAATAAGCTGGCAACAATGAAAATCATCAACGTATTTTTTTTCCATTCTCCGTTCTGTAGACACTAAGACGGCTTTCTTTAGTGATCGTGAAGAATTCGATCCGGAGCAATAGGGGTGGCCGGATGGTGAGGGATATGTCAGATGCGTCAAGGAAGAAGCTTTTGCTTTAGTCTATCTGCCCTGTAGACGCTAAGAAGGCCTTTTTATCAAGCCCATCGTGGATTAGGCCAGGCCCGTGCGGTATGAAACGACGGCGTAGGGAGGACGGGGCTCGGTATATTTGAGACGAATCACCGCCAAAATTTGCTGGGGTTTCTCGACCCGTCCGAATTCGTTCCCGAATCCCCAGAATGATAAACTGACACTTTAACCACTCATCCACCCGGCTGCCTTTAGAATTATTAAAATGTTTTAGAACAAAAATTGTCACAACCAATTTTAATTAAATTATTATATTCCTACCTATAACTGATTTTATTGATACGAAAAACGAGATACAAATTCAAGTTATTCTATTTTTATAACTTAGTCGAACCTCTAATAACAAGCCATCTTCAAACAATGGTCTATTTTACGTTCCTGTCAGTGGCCGTTGTTTGAAGGTTTGACTGTGTTTTGAAAACGCTTGTAGAGCGGGGTTGACCAGTAGGCTGTATATTATCCATTGCCTGCGTTGGCATTATGTAAATACCACATAATTATAAATTATAGATTTTTAAAGACATTTTGTCTCGAGTTTCTGCCGCGAAAAGATATGAAGTGAGTAATTTTTGTTAGTAGCTTAGACGAACACACGATGAGTCCGGAAGACCTTGTATCGCGGGATCTCGAATTTTGTAATTTATCACCAATAGCTACAGTCGAAATGTCTTTCCCGTCTCCATTTCTGCTAGTCGACATCCATAATGGATAAATGGATCGAGCGTAAAATTAGTCCTTTTAGCGTAAAAAAAAGCCTTCTTAGTGCCTACAGAACGAAAAAAGTTTTACGAAAATAAGTCAACACTATTAACTGTAAAGGATGAGAAAATAAATTATCTTAGCCTCTATTGCATTCCCAATTTCACACGAAACTCTGAAACATCATACACGTTATATTTTAAGTTTGCTATGTATGATGTAATTTGAGTGTTTTGAAATAATATAAGAAACGAGCAATTATTTATTGTGACATGGTCGCAATGCCGGGCTACTATTTTTAATCATATTTTTTATTTATTTAATTTAAAATATATGTACTCCACTTCAAATTAGTAGTATCATGCTCCCGTACATCATACTTTTCCGTTAGCAATGGGCTTGTGCCGGCCAACTAACTAACGTCTTTTCGGGGGAGAGTTTTGAATCGAAATAACGTCACTTTCGGTTTTCATCGAAACTTCGTAAGTAGTTAATCGTGGTTCCCGCTCCTAAGATTTCCATATCTGATCTCGTCTTTCGTCTCTCGAAATTAAAGACAAACAGATGGACCGATTGAGAATTTAGGACGCAATTTTATATAGCTTCACAATTTTTTCAAATTGCAGCCCAATAAATGTCGTCAGGAAGGCCGAGCGGATAAAAAATAAAAAAAACAATAAATGCAAAATACTATAAACAACTCATTTTTTATACTTTTACCTGTTCAAAATGATTACAAACTAATCAGCAATAGATCGAGGTTCAAATAGCAATTTTGCAATCGATATTATTGCCTTATTCCTGTTACAGAGAATCGCCGCCCTCTTCGACGTAGGAAGGGGAGACCGAATATCGCCCCATTGTTTAGCACACTCGATTTAGAATACATTAGTATAAGGTGAACGATTGTTGCAACACTCGTTATCATCCTTTATATCAATTCTTTTAGGTAATAGACGTTCCTCGGCGCTTAAAAAATTTCTATCGGACTTTATGCTTCATGCAGACGAAGTATCACAACCGTAGAAGTAATAGGTCTATAAAACGTGACTCGCGAGTCGTCTTCAGGTAAATTCCCATCTCAGTCTAGACGAGAACTAAATTTACGTTCGAACTAACGTTTGGAAAATCGACTAAACATATTTTTAATGGTACTTTCAAAGAATTTTATGCGTTATACTTACTAAATCGAAACAACGTTTAAACATAATATCGACGTCCCAAACTTTTGACTGAATAACAATATCCATTAAATCGGTACGAAAATCGATTAAGGCAGGATATTTAAACTGTTATTAGTATGTATATATACTATAAATAATGAATTTTAAATAACGTGTCTTACCCACTAATTATAAATACATTAATGAAAGACATTCGGCTCGTCCAGCGACAAAGAATTTCAACCGACGTTTCTGTAACGAGAAGCGATCGAGGTACGAAGACCATTTGGTACAAAATATCGCTTTGTGTAGTTTCTATTGTGTCTAGTGCACAATATGCAACATTAATCGAGGAAGTACAGATGACAGATACCCTACCACTGAAGATCCGAGTTTGAGTTGGCTCTTTTCGTAGATTGGTTGCTCCGTTTTGGTTGGATTAGTGGTGAAAAGAAAGTCGACGCCTTCCGAGAGGACTTTCTATGGAAAAATGGCTCTTATTAAAGTATTAGACACGTGAAAACTCCAACTACTGGTATTCTGCGGGCGTTGTCCGATACGTTCCTCATAATCTCGTTGGCCGAATCCACGACTGGCACAGATGCCTTAATGCCCGCAGGAAGAACTGGAAATTAGGAAACCAATAATGAAGATATTTGTTTCCGAATTTAAAACGTGCCCAATAACAATTATCACCCCCCTACGAAAATAATCTATTTTGTTTCTATACTAAAGCATTACATCTTGACAGTTTATATAACATGTAAATGACTCCATGTAAGATAATTCGCCATTTCCATGCTTGGGATATTGTCACGTACAATTATCTACACTTGGAAATCTTATAATATAATCGAGATGGGTTGATAATGATAATAATAATAAGTGCAGAGCCCAAACGGTTAGGAGTTGAAAGTTGAAATTTGGTAAACAGTTAGGGTGCATCATGAGAACATACACTAAGAAGGGATTTTTCGAAATTCCTCCCCGCGGGAGAGAGGGACAGGATTAAGGTTTACCGTGAAGAATTCGGCTTCTATTATACTATTTTAGATGCGGTTTTTTGCGTTTTAATAGGATATGCCATGAGAATGCACATTAAGATTTTTCAAAATTCCCATCGCGGGGGGGGGAGGGAGGTGTTAAAGATTACCCCGAAGAACTCGATTCTACTGTACTATTTTAGATGCCTTTCTTGCATTTATGCGGGAAATCGAACATATTTTTAGACCCTTCTAAAAATTCTCAACGATATTTAGTGTTCCATTGTATATAAAGTTGACGCGAGGAGCGCATAGGCTTAAGTTCACTTTATTCGAACTCTGTCTTAATGTTCGATTTTATATTTATGATTCTGGAAGATCCAGCGTATTTTTCGAATTTAGTAAACTGAAGAACCCAGAGTTATGAAAACGTTTATTATTCATCACTTAGTAGTTACAGTGAGTCTTAATTATCGTTGTCCCGGTGTGGTAAGCAGATATCTAAAGATTTTCTAGTCTCCAAAGAGGGAGGACCTAATTCTTGCACTGGGTGAAAACGGGTAAGATCGGCTATAATCTAATAATCTTAATCTTTGCTACCGTTACTTTTTGTCCGAGAAACACCGGGATCATCTGCTAGTAAAAGATAATAATTAAAGTACGTATTTATACTCTAATATGCGTTGTTATATATTTCTCACGTTCATTAAATCGGAGTTCGTAGAGTTCGACAGGACACGTTATTCCCCATTTACACGAAGGATCCGAATTCGAATCCACCCAAACTGGGAAAAACAAATTCCGTTCACGCTCGAGCTACGCTTTTAGAGGTAACGTCTAGACGTGGCCCGATCTTCGTGTGTTCTTGTTCTAATACGCCAATTACGACAGCACTTATACAATTTATGAAAGTATATATAACGCAAGGTTGGTGAACGTGTAACGTAACTTGCTTAGTAATTAACATACCCATAGTTTTTCTCAATTCGGTTGTACTTAGATCTGAGTGGTCCCAATTTATACATATATCGGGCCCTCCCCTTCCATCAAATAATGTAAAAATGTGAGGTAGCTTGTTTAGATTGTGTGTAAATCTAACCCTGTTTCCCAGTGTTTCTCGTGTTAAAGCACAAAACTGAGTTTTGTATACCTGTATAAAGTGTACAATAATCAATAAATTTTGTAAATGTAATAAAATTACATTTACAAAATTTATTGATTATTGAATAGTCTGTAATAGCCAAAGAATAACCTGTCTATATGGGGATTTATACAAATTAATGTGAGGTAACCTTCCTGAGGATATATAAAAACTTGACAGATCAACTTAAAACTTTCATCCAAAATGGAGTAAAAGGAATTAAAATGATTTATTTTGTATATGTATAAAGAACTTTTTGCAAATATTTTTATATAACAAGTAGATTTTTTTTATTTTTGTAACAATTTCTTTGAAAAAAAAGCCAAATAAACAACAGAAATAAATTCTGCAAAGATACTAAATATTCACAAAAGGAATTTTATTTAAATAATGCTTATTAATTTAACAATTATTTCATGGAAATAAATTTATATTAAAACTGAGAAATAACTAATTAATAAGAAAATAAGATTAAAATACTTTGTAACAGATGCATTGTTCAAATAATAAAATGTTTTAAAGCTTTATGTTATCAATGAATTCTGTCAGAAACTAAAGATTAAGCTCATTATACTCAGCTGTTCTTACTATAATATTTAACTGCAGTAACATTTGACTTTAATAACTTACTAGAACCCAAAAATCAAATGTAAAACAGCATCTCCAAACATAAATGTAGATTAAGCAGAAATATCAGACTAAATGTTATAAATAAAGAATACTCTCTTGTTACTTCTATAACAATCATTTTAAGTCGTTTTCATATAAAAACAGATATTTTGTATAATTAGTTTTATTGAGAAACTATACATATAGCAGAGCCAAAGTCGATCGGAGTCTCGTTCGTTAGTGAACCATCTGCTCCTCCGTGATCTGCGTCATCCAGTCCGACTCGTGCTGAGATATTTTTTCGATGATGTTATTCACCTGAAAGCACAGACTCTGTATCTGTTTGTCCCATGAAGGTAATACTTCGCGTGCTGGAAGAAATTGTTTTAATATCGTTAATGGTAAATTCTTTCAAACATTTTTCAATAATATAAATGTCACATTTAATGCTTATGTCCTTTAAATTTAACAACAAAATGCTTAAAATAAGTGCAAGAAATTTTATTATAAAAGATTTAGAATGTTACTTTGCAAAAATAGGTCAGAAATGCAACTAGAAATTGGGTTTTTGCACTCATTTAAAGCAGTTTTTTTGAAAATTTTTCAACAATTATAAATTATAATATAATTTATGCCATATTTCTTCCTTTTACTTAAAGGAATATGTTTCACTCTTCACTCTATTCCTTTAAATAAAGGATTACTTATAATTACTTATATATATATATAAGTAATCCTTTATTTAAATGTGAGTCGAACTTACAAGTTAGTGGAATAAATTGTTTAAATATTTTTTTTTCAGAAAGGAAAAGTTTATTCAAACCGACATTTAAAAAGATCATTAAATTGTTTTCCCACGGACTTATTTTCTGGTTGAAGATGATACATCGAATGTGTCACCCTGGAATTTACAAAGAGAAGAAAGAAAACAACTATTGGTCAGTGGTGGAAAACAGTCCTAATAAGGCAGTGGAAAAAACCCAACGATACCCCCTTTATAAAAAGGAGGGGTCGATGTGTCAAAGACAGTCTCCAGAGTAAGTGAACTATAGGATTACGTGTGTGGATTAGCTGCTGCCAGGGACTTTTCTAAACATCACCGTGCAGGAAGACCAGCGTCTAAGAAACCTCATCGTTTGGAAGAACTGTGTGAGATAAGAAACCTTATCGTTCGAAGGAACTGTGTAAGAAACCTCATCGTTCAAAAGGACCTCTTGAGACTCAAGGACTACATTTCCAACTCTCATAACTTATATCAAGGTATTTATCCTCGTGCGAAGTAAATGTAAACTCACTCTCTCATTAATACGGGTTATCGGGAAAGAAATAGCTATGTTAACTGAAATCAAACATGATTTGTATATAGTTTAAATAGAACAATAAACGGGTATTATATATATATAAAGATAATCTATAGAGTGTAATTCCTCTGATTCTCTTCTTCCGCCTCCATCCCGGAACCAAACGTCCACAAGCGCAAGCATTCGCATTAAGAAAATTAACGGCCAATCTGGTTTCTGTCTCTGACCTTAAGAAACAGTGGTGTCATCCTGACAGGGCACCAAAGAGGTGTCAACCCTGCGGTCACATAAAGGAATTCTAATAACTACCATGTGACAAAAATTACATAAAAGATTCTAATATTTTTGAAAAATTTCAATTATTGCTATCAAGGATTTCATAATGAAATATTTTAATAAATGTCATTTTGTATGGCAATAAGCATAAAAACTTTTCCACAAAATTTTTGAATAACGAGTAATTAAGATAAATAGAATCAAAAGAAGATAGCAAAATCAATTTTAGAAAGAGTTGAAATTTAGAGGAAAGCAAACACCTTGCCCATGAAAACATTATTACAACTTAATGGTGAACAAAAAACATGCTGCCGATATTTAATGAGTTTTATGTTTAGAATGATGTTTTGCAAATTGTTAACGATGACGACTTTTTCCTTTATAAATGCATCTATCGAAAAACCCAGAATGGTGGCAACTTACAAAATGCAAATAATCATAAATAATGAATTTTTATGGTAATGCTATTATTTTCATTTTTGAATAACAAAACTGAATAAATAATAAGTTTTAAATTACAGTGGTGCCTCGTATAACGTACTTAATCCGTTCCAGGTGCATGTCCGTTAAGTGAAAACTCCGTTATATGAAATGCATTTTCCCGTAGAAATACATGTTGAAACATAATTCGTTCCGCAGCATAAAATAACCGTACCATAAAAAATTGAAAATGGAGCAGTCACCAATTATGCTGGGCAGTCATATATTGTGAGGAGGTGGAAGAACACTTTTTTCACATATTCATACAGATACAGACTTTTTACACATTGCAGCGGGTCTTTTTTTATTGTTTTTTAATCGGAGTCAGATTCAGGAGAGGCTACTGGGGCTCGCAGGGTCAACTCCTCTTGTTCCATCCTTTGTTTTTTTGGCAGCTGACTTCTTGAAAAACATGTCCAAAGTGGTCTGTTTCTCTCTCTTCTTTCAACAGCTGTCGGAAATGATGGGCAGGGGTGTCATTGTAGAGATCATTGATCCTGTTGGCCTCAGCTCTGTTTGGATAATGAGTGTTGGTAAACTCCTTGAACCTCTCCTCATTTGACAAGGAAGTTTTTGTCAACTTTCACTCCTGATGATTTCTTGCTTTGTTTCAATTGAAATCATCTTTCTGTTTTTTTAGAAGCCATGATTTACACAACACTTGAATAAATGTAAATACCCTGCACTGAGGTGATGTACGGTACGTAATAAACAAGGGAGCAAGCCGAATCCCAACAGGAGCTCTATACTTCAGATATACTAATAATATATTCTAATAATACTAATATATTATAAAAATAGCAGATTGTCATTGGCAACGGCAAAAGAGTGGAAACATCATTCGTACTTATTTGCAGAAAGTCCGTTGTTCGCAGCGTCCGTTATTCAAGGCGTACGTTATACGAGGCACCACTGTATTTTATATTGGCATATTTGTGATACGTAGAAAAAATATACAAGATTGTTGTTGTATTTAAAAAATGCTTCTGTAGGAAAAAATTATATACATGAAAATTTATTAAAAATAGCCTGACATTAAAAGTAAAAATATTCTAATTTCTCGTGTGAATGCACGACTAATTGCCTTTGCATTCTAGAGGCATATTAAAAAATACGACCTTTTTTTATCCAAAATAGATTATATTTTTTGAGAAATTGTTAATAAAATTCTTTAAATTCATATAAAAAATGATGACTCACTCTCAAAATGAACGATAGAATCTATTTGGTCGATATATCCATTCATTCTTCCTTCTGTTATCATTTGCGAAGCAATCTTCTCTGCCTAAAAACAAAGAATATAAGGCAAATTTATCAATTTATGAAACTTTTTCTGATTTTATCATCAACATACAAATTATTAACATTATTACTCCATATAAAGTGTTATAATTAATATTAGCTAATTATCTTTAGTAATGCTAAATGTTTTTACTGTAGGCATTTAAACTCTTTCAATCATTTGCATTACTTTAGACAGTGTTTCCCAAACTTTTTGGACTACCGACCCTTTCGGTGCATACATTTATTTAGCATCCCCATAAAATTAGTCAAAAACGATATGCTGAAAATAAATTTTAATAAAAAAGTTTTTAATTTACACATTTATTTTATAAATGAAAAAATAATTTTTTGAAAATCTCTTGAAATACTTTATTAATTATTATAAAGTCATGTGTCTCAAAACTGACTTTACATATATTTTAGTAGTATATTTGTAATATACTACTAAATATGTATAATAGTAAATTTTTTTGTTTCAAAATTGGATTTTTGTTCCCTTGTCTTCCAAAACTCCTACTGCTCTTTTGCCTTCCAGCATTCCCTTTGAGCCTTCTATCACCCCCTCAATGGAGTAGAAGATTCAAAAGGGAAAATAACTTTGGGACCAACTTTAGAAATGCTGCTTCAGAACAACTATGACAGGAAAAGTGCAACTATTTCAGGAATGATTTGGGAGACTAACTCAAACTGTATCAAATGGGCTAATACAGCCAGCAGTTGTTGATAATTCTTGTAAATTTTTAACAATTCCAGCATTAAAAGCATTTAATTCTTAAACTCTCTCTTGGAAATATCAGTCTCTATAATCTAATAATTGTTGTAATTTTTCATACTTTGTAAATATTTAGATGAAAGAAAATAAAATTTTTCTTTAATAATGGTTATTCAATAATATACAGAATTTTTACAGCAATATTCCAAATTTAAGAATTGGTTAACAATCAATATGATAATAGAATTTAACAAATTTTATTTGAAAGTATTTGTAATACCTTAGATGGTGGTATTTCTAAAAGTGCTCCAAGTTCTTCAAAAGTAATATTATTGTATAGCTTGCTTGCCGACAGTAGATTATGCTCAGTAACGGCACGATCCAAAATGGTAGAACCTATTAAAATGTGCACAGATTAATTACTGAAAATAATAAATATTAAATTAATATAAACATAAAATAATGGAATATTAGCATTAAATGAAGACTGCCAAATTAAAAAAAAATTGATGAAAAGAACTTCATCTCTTTATAACACTTTATATATAAAGATTATAATATCTGCTTATATATGAAGTTGGTCCAGAAAGTTCACAAACTTTTTAAATTATGCACCAACTGATAATTGAATCTGAATTCAGCTTGCATGGCTCTCTAGAGGCAAGTTTTGTATACTATCTGCTAATAGTTTGTTCTATTTTCATTTGTGTAAATACATGTTTGTTCTATTTTCATTTGTGTAAATATTTAACTAGCACTCACTAAAAAAATTTTTGCAAATTTTTTTAGTGAGTGCTAGTGAAGAGCTTCTGGGATGGGCTAGGTCTGGAAAAAGTTTCATGAAAAACATCATCACTGAAGATGAGACAGGGGTCTATGTGTACAATGTGAAAAAAAAAATCTATCAGTCATCAGAGTGGGTGGAAAAACCTTCACTGTAATCCAAAAAGGCACGACAAGTTTGGTCGAATGTGAAGGTTTTTCTTACTGTTTTGTTTGATTATGAAGATGTCATTCACCACAAATACTATCTTGGGTGGTGAATCATCTTCATGATACAGTAAAGAAGAAAAGATTGACTGCTTAGAGAAAACAGCATCATGACAATGACCTCACTTCTGCTGATAACAGTTTTTGGCTAAGAATTTGACACCATTTGTTTCCCAACCTCTATATTTACTGGACTAAGTTCCAGGAGACTTATTTTTGTTTCCCAGATTAAAATCTGCTCTCAAAAGTCACCATTTTGAATCCATTGATGCCATTAAGGAAAATTCGTTAGCAGAACTGCACATCATCCCAAAAGAAGTGTTTCAGAAAGTGTTCTTTTCATGGCAGAAGCACTGGATTCAATGCATAGACTTAGTTGAGAACTACTTCAAAGGCATCAAAACACACTAAATTCTACATAAATACAAACAACTTCTATTTGCAAAGTTTGCAAACTTTACAGACAGACCTTGTATTTTGAATTAACTGTTAAAATTAACTTTGATAAATTTTTAAATTATAAATTTATCTTCCAACAATTTCTTTCATTTATGATTTGTCTCATTCTTAATCATATCAAATATTATAGAGATATTGTATACCTGACTTCTTGAGTAATATTAAAAAAATCTCTGTCAACAGAAGATTCCTTGCACTTTTAATGACAAAGATTCATTAATGTTATTTCAAAAATACAAGATGTATGACATCCCTCTCCATAATACATTCATAAACATCAATTATTATTAGTATGATAATCTAAATGTTTCTATATTGATGGAATCATTACAATAATGACCAAAAGTGAGTGAGAGAGAGAGAGAGAGAGAGAGAGAGAGAGCAGAAATGATGGACACACAAATATAAAATTAGAGAGTAGACAAAGGAAGATAAGAAGTTTATGATAACATATGACAAATAAAAGAATGGTGGAAAATAATAGGACAAAAATGAAATATATAATTCAATGTAATGACAAATATTCTTCAAGAAGAATTAAGAATTTTCAACAAAGAGGGCTGATTTTATATATCAGCAAAACTAAAAGATTATGCAAAAAAAACGATCATTTACATTAAAATTTGGCAATGGAGAGAGGGGAAAAAATATTTCTCATGTTTTGTCATTGTGTACCAAAATCCAGTTTGGTACTATCAAAGAAAACCAAACCTCCTTAGATCAAAAGTCTGAACAACTATTTTATATTAAAAAGGCTTTAAAATATACTCAGAAAGACATTTAAAATAGATATCTGTCATAATTGAGCATTTTAAAGGTTCACTCAATTTAAAACCTTTTCAGCTTTTGTTTAACTTTGATTTGGATATTTTTAGTGCTTCATTTAGCAGAACTACTCCAGTCGGTGAGATGTCAAAGGCAGCTGCCTCAGACACCGTATTGGAAGGATGCCAAATGACATCATAATGCTAGACACTCTTCAAACATAAAAATTCATATAAAAATATTCCTATAAAAATTTGAAAAAAAAACAAAGTAATTAAATACTGACTACATCCATTTATCAGTAAACGCCAGTAACAAAATAAATATAGTATTTTATAGAGAATATAAAAACACACCAGTTTTCAGTTTGTTTAGTGAATGAAAAGAATAAAATAATCTACAACCCTGGACTTTGCTCATAAAAAAAATTATAATCAAATATGATAAAGAGGATAAAAGACAAATAAAATGTAAAAAATGTTTTTAAAACTAAATTCTTGTGTAATGTAAAACATCAAAACTAAGCAAAATTAATATATGCAATGTAAAAATAAAATTCATCACTTTTATTCTGCTTTTAATAAGCACAAATTTTAAAAACTTGATTAAATTATTGAATTCTTCTTAATAATTTAAGTGCAATTATTCTTTAGATTACAAAATAAAAATTTTATATTTTATTTCTATGNGAACTCTGTCTTAATGTTCGATTTTATATTTATGATTCTGGAAGATCCAGCGTATTTTTCGAATTTAGTAAACTGAAGAACCCAGAGTTATGAAAACGTTTATTATTCATCACTTAGTAGTTACAGTGAGTCTTAATTATCGTTGTCCCGGTGTGGTAAGCAGATATCTAAAGATTTTCTAGTCTCCAAAGAGGGAGGACCTAATTCTTGCACTGGGTGAAAACGGGTAAGATCGGCTATAATCTAATAATCTTAATCTTTGCTACCGTTACTTTTTGTCCGAGAAACACCGGGATCATCTGCTAGTAAAAGATAATAATTAAAGTACGTATTTATACTCTAATATGCGTTGTTATATATTTCTCACGTTCATTAAATCGGAGTTCGTAGAGTTCGACAGGACACGTTATTCCCCATTTACACGAAGGATCCGAATTCGAATCCACCCAAACTGGGAAAAACAAATTCCGTTCACGCTCGAGCTACGCTTTTAGAGGTAACGTCTAGACGTGGCCCGATCTTCGTGTGTTCTTGTTCTAATACGCCAATTACGACAGCACTTATACAATTTATGAAAGTATATATAACGCAAGGTTGGTGAACGTGTAACGTAACTTGCTTAGTAATTAACATACCCATAGTTTTTCTCAATTCGGTTGTACTTAGATCTGAGTGGTCCCAATTTATACATATATCGGGCCCTCCCCTTCCATCAAATAATGTAAAAATGTAAGGTAGCTTGTTTAGATTGTGTGTAAATCTAACCCTGTTTCCCAGTGTTTCTCGTGTTAAAGCACAAAACTGAGTTTTGTATACCTGTATAAAATGTACAATAATCAATAAATTTTGTAAATGTAATAAAATTACATTTACAAAATTTATTGATTATTGAATAGTCTGTAATAGCCAAAGAATAACCTGTCTATATGGGGATTTATACAAATTAATGTGAGGTAACCTTCCTGAGGATATATAAAAACTTGACAGATCAACTTAAAACTTTCATCCAAAATGGAGTAAAAGGAATTAAAATGATTTATTTTGTATATGTATAAAGAACTTTTTGCAAATATTTTTATATAACAAGTAGATTTTTTTTATTTTTGTAACAATTTCTTTGAAAAAAAAGCCAAATAAACAACAGAAATAAATTCTGCAAAGATACTAAATATTCACAAAAGGAATTTTATTTAAATAATGCTTATTAATTTAACAATTATTTCATGGAAATAAATTTATATTAAAACTGAGAAATAACTAATTAATAAGAAAATAAGATTAAAATACTTTGTAACAGATGCATTGTTCAAATAATAAAATGTTTTAAAGCTTTATGTTATCAATGAATTCTGTCAGAAACTAAAGATTAAGCTCATTATACTCAGCTGTTCTTACTATAATATTTAACTGCAGTAACATTTGACTTTAATAACTTACTAGAACCCAAAAATCAAATGTAAAACAGCATCTCCAAACATAAATGTAGATTAAGCAGAAATATCAGACTAAATGTTATAAATAAAGAATACTCTCTTGTTACTTCTATAACAATCATTTTAAGTCGTTTTCATATAAAAACAGATATTTTGTATAATTAGTTTTATTGAGAAACTATACATATAGCAGAGCCAAAATCGATCGGAGTCTCGTTCGTTAGTGAACCATCTGCTCCTCCGTGATCTGCGTCATCCAGTCCGACTCGTGCTGAGATATTTTTTCGATGATGTTATTCACCTGAAAGCACAGACTCTGTATCTGTTTGTCCCATGAAGGTAATACTTCGCGTGCTGGAAGAAATTGTTTTAATATCGTTAATGGTAAATTCTTTCAAACATTTTTCAATAATATAAATGTCGCATTTAATGCTTATGTCCTTTAAATTTAACAACAAAATTTTATTTTGCTTAAAATAAGTGCAAGAAATTTTATTATAAAAGATTTAGAATGTTACTTTGCAAAAATAGGTCAGAAATGCAACTAGAAATTGGGTTTTTGCACTCATTTAAAGCAGTTTTTTTGAAAATTTTTCAACAATTATAAATTATAATATAATTTATGCCATATTTCTTCCTTTTACTTAAAGGAATATGTTTCACTCTTCACTCTATTCCTTTAAATAAAGGATTACTTATAATTACTTATATATATATATAAGTAATCCTTTATTTAAATGTGAGTCGAACTTACAAGTTAGTGGAATAAATTGTTTAAATATTTTTTTTTCAGAAAGGAAAAGTTTATTCAAACCGACATTTAAAAAGATCATTAAATTGTTTTCCCACGGACTTATTTTCTGGTTGAAGATGATACATCGAATGTGTCACCCTGGAATTTACAAAGAGAAGAAAGAAAACAACTATTGGTCAGTGGTGGAAAACAGTCCTAATAAGGCAGTGGAAAAAACCCAACGATACCCCCTTTATAAAAAGGAGGGGTCGATGTGTCAAAGACAGTCTCCAGAGTAAGTGAACTATAGGATTACGTGTGTGGATTAGCTGCTGCCAGGGACTTTTCTAAACATCACCGTGCAGGAAGACCAGCGTCTAAGAAACCTCATCGTTTGGAAGAACTGTGTGAGATAAGAAACCTTATCGTTCGAAGGAACTGTGTAAGAAACCTCATCGTTCAAAAGGACCTCTTGAGACTCAAGGACTACATTTCCAACTCTCATAACTTATATCAAGGTATTTATCCTCGTGCGAAGTAAATGTAAACTCACTCTCTCATTAATACGGGTTATCGGGAAAGAAATAGCTATGTTAACTGAAATCAAACATGATTTGTATATAGTTTAAATAGAACAATAAACGGGTATTATATATATATAAAGATAATCTATAGAGTGTAATTCCTCTGATTCTCTTCTTCCGCCTCCATCCCGGAACCAAACGTCCACAAGCGCAAGCATTCGCATTAAGAAAATTAACGGCCAATCTGGTTTCTGTCTCTGACCTTAAGAAACAGTGGTGTCATCCTGACAGGGCACCAAAGAGGTGTCAACCCTGCGGTCACATAAAGGAATTCTAATAACTACCATGTGACAAAAATTACATAAAAGATTCTAATATTTTTGAAAAATTTCAATTATTGCTATCAAGGATTTCATAATGAAATATTTTAATAAATGTCATTTTGTATGGCAATAAGCATAAAAACTTTTCCACAAAATTTTTGAATAACGAGTAATTAAGATAAATAGAATCAAAAGAAGATAGCAAAATCAATTTTAGAAAGAGTTGAAATTTAGAGGAAAGCAAACACCTTGCCCATGAAAACATTATTACAACTTAATGGTGAACAAAAAACATGCTGCCGATATTTAATGAGTTTTATGTTTAGAATGATGTTTTGCAAATTGTTAACGATGACGACTTTTTCCTTTATAAATGCATCTATCGAAAAACCCAGAATGGTGGCAACTTACAAAATGCAAATAATCATAAATAATGAATTTTTATGGTAATGCTATTATTTTCATTTTTGAATAACAAAACTGAATAAATAATAAGTTTTAAATTACAGTGGTGCCTCGTATAACGTACTTAATCCGTTCCAGGTGCATGTCCGTTAAGTGAAAACTCCGTTATATGAAATGCATTTTCCCGTAGAAATACATGTTGAAACATAATTCGTTCCGCAGCATAAAATAACCGTACCATAAAAAATTGAAAATGGAGCAGTCACCAATTATGCTGGGCAGTCATATATTGTGAGGAGGTGGAAGAACACTTTTTTCACATATTCATACAGATACAGACTTTTTACACATTGCAGCGGGTCTTTTTTTATTGTTTTTTAATCGGAGTCAGATTCAGGAGAGGCTACTGGGGCTCGCAGGGTCAACTCCTCTTGTTCCATCCTTTGTTTTTTTGGCAGCTGACTTCTTGAAAAACATGTCCAAAGTGGTCTGTTTCTCTCTCTTCTTTCAACAGCTGTCGGAAATGATGGGCAGGGGTGTCATTGTAGAGATCATTGATCCTGTTGGCCTCAGCTCTGTTTGGATAATGAGTGTTGGTAAACTCCTTGAACCTCTCCTCATTTGACAAGGAAGTTTTTGTCAACTTTCACTCCTGATGATTTCTTGCTTTGTTTCAATTGAAATCATCTTTCTGTTTTTTTAGAAGCCATGATTTACACAACACTTGAATAAATGTAAATACCCTGCACTGAGGTGATGTACGGTACGTAATAAACAAGGGAGCAAGCCGAATCCCAACAGGAGCTCTATACTTCAGATATACTAATAATATATTCTAATAATACTAATATATTATAAAAATAGCAGATTGTCATTGGCAACGGCAAAAGAGTGGAAACATCATTCGTACTTATTTGCAGAAAGTCCGTTGTTCGCAGCGTCCGTTATTCAAGGCGTACGTTATACGAGGCACCACTGTATTTTATATTGGCATATTTGTGATACGTAGAAAAAATATACAAGATTGTTGTTGTATTTAAAAAATGCTTCTGTAGGAAAAAATTATATACATGAAAATTTATTAAAAATAGCCTGACATTAAAAGTAAAAATATTCTAATTTCTCGTGTGAATGCACGACTAATTGCCTTTGCATTCTAGAGGCATATTAAAAAATACGACCTTTTTTTATCCAAAATAGATTATATTTTTTGAGAAATTGTTAATAAAATTCTTTAAATTCATATAAAAAATGATGACTCACTCTCAAAATGAACGATAGAATCTATTTGGTCGATATATCCATTCATTCTTCCTTCTGTTATCATTTGCGAAGCAATCTTCTCTGCCTAAAAACAAAGAATATAAGGCAAATTTATCAATTTATGAAACTTTTTCTGATTTTATCATCAACATACAAATTATTAACATTATTACTCCATATAAAGTGTTATAATTAATATTAGCTAATTATCTTTAGTAATGCTAAATGTTTTTACTGTAGGCATTTAAACTCTTTCAATCATTTGCATTACTTTAGACAGTGTTTCCCAAACTTTTTGGACTACCGACCCTTTCGGTGCATACATTTATTTAGCATCCCCATAAAATTAGTCAAAAACGATATGCTGAAAATAAATTTTAATAAAAAAGTTTTTAATTTACACATTTATTTTATAAATGAAAAAATAATTTTTTGAAAATCTCTTGAAATACTTTATTAATTATTATAAAGTCATGTGTCTCAAAACTGACTTTACATATATTTTAGTAGTATATTTGTAATATACTACTAAATATGTATAATAGTAAATTTTTTTGTTTCAAAATTGGATTTTTGTTCCCTTGTCTTCCAAAACTCCTACTGCTCTTTTGCCTTCCAGCATTCCCTTTGAGCCTTCTATCACCCCCTCAATGGAGTAGAAGATTCAAAAGGGAAAATAACTTTGGGACCAACTTTAGAAATGCTGCTTCAGAACAACTATGACAGGAAAAGTGCAACTATTTCAGGAATGATTTGGGAGACTAACTCAAACTGTATCAAATGGGCTAATACAGCCAGCAGTTGTTGATAATTCTTGTAAATTTTTAACAATTCCAGCATTAAAAGCATTTAATTCTTAAACTCTCTCTTGGAAATATCAGTCTCTATAATCTAATAATTGTTGTAATTTTTCATACTTTGTAAATATTTAGATGAAAGAAAATAAAATTTTTCTTTAATAATGGTTATTCAATAATATACAGAATTTTTACAGCAATATTCCAAATTTAAGAATTGGTTAACAATCAATATGATAATAGAATTTAACAAATTTTATTTGAAAGTATTTGTAATACCTTAGATGGTGGTATTTCTAAAAGTGCTCCAAGTTCTTCAAAAGTAATATTATTGTATAGCTTGCTTGCCGACAGTAGATTATGCTCAGTAACGGCACGATCCAAAATGGTAGAACCTATTAAAATGTGCACAGATTAATTACTGAAAATAATAAATATTAAATTAATATAAACATAAAATAATGGAATATTAGCATTAAATGAAGACTGCCAAATTAAAAAAAAATTGATGAAAAGAACTTCATCTCTTTATAACACTTTATATATAAAGATTATAATATCTGCTTATATATGAAGTTGGTCCAGAAAGTTCACAAACTTTTTAAATTATGCACCAACTGATAATTGAATCTGAATTCAGCTTGCATGGCTCTCTAGAGGCAAGTTTTGTATACTATCTGCTAATAGTTTGTTCTATTTTCATTTGTGTAAATACATGTTTGTTCTATTTTCATTTGTGTAAATATTTAACTAGCACTCACTAAAAAAATTTTTGCAAATTTTTTTAGTGAGTGCTAGTGAAGAGCTTCTGGGATGGGCTAGGTCTGGAAAAAGTTTCATGAAAAACATCATCACTGAAGATGAGACAGGGGTCTATGTGTACAATGTGAAAAAAAAAATCTATCAGTCATCAGAGTGGGTGGAAAAACCTTCACTGTAATCCAAAAAGGCACGACAAGTTTGGTCGAATGTGAAGGTTTTTCTTACTGTTTTGTTTGATTATGAAGATGTCATTCACCACAAATACTATCTTGGGTGGTGAATCATCTTCATGATACAGTAAAGAAGAAAAGATTGACTGCTTAGAGAAAACAGCATCATGACAATGACCTCACTTCTGCTGATAACAGTTTTTGGCTAAGAATTTGACACCATTTGTTTCCCAACCTCTATATTTACTGGACTAAGTTCCAGGAGACTTATTTTTGTTTCCCAGATTAAAATCTGCTCTCAAAAGTCACCATTTTGAATCCATTGATGCCATTAAGGAAAATTCGTTAGCAGAACTGCACATCATCCCAAAAGAAGTGTTTCAGAAAGTGTTCTTTTCATGGCAGAAGCACTGGATTCAATGCATAGACTTAGTTGAGAACTACTTCAAAGGCATCAAAACACACTAAATTCTACATAAATACAAACAACTTCTATTTGCAAAGTTTGCAAACTTTACAGACAGACCTTGTATTTTGAATTAACTGTTAAAATTAACTTTGATAAATTTTTAAATTATAAATTTATCTTCCAACAATTTCTTTCATTTATGATTTGTCTCATTCTTAATCATATCAAATATTATAGAGATATTGTATACCTGACTTCTTGAGTAATATTAAAAAAATCTCTGTCAACAGAAGATTCCTTGCACTTTTAATGACAAAGATTCATTAATGTTATTTCAAAAATACAAGATGTATGACATCCCTCTCCATAATACATTCATAAACATCAATTATTATTAGTATGATAATCTAAATGTTTCTATATTGATGGAATCATTACAATAATGACCAAAAGTGAGTGAGAGAGAGAGAGAGAGAGAGAGAGCAGAAATGATGGACACACAAATATAAAATTAGAGAGTAGACAAAGGAAGATAAGAAGTTTATGATAACATATGACAAATAAAAGAATGGTGGAAAATAATAGGACAAAAATGAAATATATAATTCAATGTAATGACAAATATTCTTCAAGAAGAATTAAGAATTTTCAACAAAGAGGGCTGATTTTATATATCAGCAAAACTAAAAGATTATGCAAAAAAAACGATCATTTACATTAAAATTTGGCAATGGAGAGAGGGGAAAAAATATTTCTCATGTTTTGTCATTGTGTACCAAAATCCAGTTTGGTACTATCAAAGAAAACCAAACCTCCTTAGATCAAAAGTCTGAACAACTATTTTATATTAAAAAGGCTTTAAAATATACTCAGAAAGACATTTAAAATAGATATCTGTCATAATTGAGCATTTTAAAGGTTCACTCAATTTAAAACCTTTTCAGCTTTTGTTTAACTTTGATTTGGATATTTTTAGTGCTTCATTTAGCAGAACTACTCCAGTCGGTGAGATGTCAAAGGCAGCTGCCTCAGACACCGTATTGGAAGGATGCCAAATGACATCATAATGCTAGACACTCTTCAAACATAAAAATTCATATAAAAATATTCCTATAAAAATTTGAAAAAAAAACAAAGTAATTAAATACTGACTACATCCATTTATCAGTAAACGCCAGTAACAAAATAAATATAGTATTTTATAGAGAATATAAAAACACACCAGTTTTCAGTTTGTTTAGTGAATGAAAAGAATAAAATAATCTACAACCCTGGACTTTGCTCATAAAAAAAATTATAATCAAATATGATAAAGAGGATAAAAGACAAATAAAATGTAAAAAATGTTTTTAAAACTAAATTCTTGTGTAATGTAAAACATCAAAACTAAGCAAAATTAATATATGCAATGTAAAAATAAAATTCATCACTTTTATTCTGCTTTTAATAAGCACAAATTTTAAAAACTTGATTAAATTATTGAATTCTTCTTAATAATTTAAGTGCAATTATTCTTTAGATTACAAAATAAAAATTTTATATTTTATTTCTATGGTTAAAAATCACAAATTATTTTATAAATTAATAATTATGATACAAGCATATACATAACATTTCAAAGAGACATATAGATATATCAAAGGATTTAGTTTGAAACGCCCAAACATTTGACTGCTTATTGTTTTAATGCATAATATATTGAAGTAACGTACCAATATATTTAAATGCAGAATTTTTTCTAATTAATTGTTTATTTTAATTTCTTGTGTATTTATTATTTTAATAATTAACAAAATCCATATGTTATTTTTCTGTTATATAAAAATTATGACATAATACGTATTCACATAATAAAAGTAAACAGGTAATTTTGTAAAATTAAAATGGTGACTTATCACAAAGTCATTTTTTTTTTATTTTAATTGATTATTGTTAGGAAATTAACTAAAGATAAGAAATTTTGAACACCAAAATGATAATTTTTAATAAAAAACTAATAATCTTTTTAACTAAAAATTAAATATTAAATTCATTCTAAACATAATTAAATATTAGAAACATTTAAATTTTACTTACCGTCGGATGTTGTGGCTTTTTGATGTAACTGCAACAGAGCAGAAAAATCTTCTAGTTCACTTCTTCTAATTATTCTATCTAAATACCTAAGTTTTAAATACAGAGTAAATTTGAAATTTATGAATACTTGCAAATTTAATTACCATATTTCCTCAATTCTAAGATGCACTTTTTAACTTATTTTCTCACGCCCAAAGTAAAGATGCATTCTAAAACAACAATCGGCAGTAATTGACAGTAAACTAACTAATGGGTTACTGGTATGCACCGAGTCAGTCTACCAGCATTGCAAATGTCTATTACCAAATAGAAATTTCCAGTAATACTGGTCCACTATCACATTAATTAGAACAATCTTATCAAGTAACAAACATTTAACTTCTTAAAGGAAGAGTTATTGCTTAAGCAGTAGAGTATGGAACAAAGTTGCCCAATTTTATTTATTTCATAGAATTTGTATTATTTTCCCTCCAGAGGAAAAAATCTTTGATTTCAAACTCATGGTGAGTCTTAGAATCAAGAAAATTCAGTAATTAATGCTCTGATTTATATGTAAATCAAATTAATAAAAAGTTGTATAGATTTAATGTTACATGGATAAAATAATATAATAACTGACAATCTCATAAAATAATATTCAGAAATGTATTACTAATTTTCTGGATTTGGACCTAAAAACTAAGTAGCAAATTAATATTGCAAAATATTAATATTTTTCTAAAACTAAAATACCTTTACTCAGTGGAAATTGCTTAATCTACAAACTTTTTTGTAGCTTAAGCAATTTACTAGTCACCATCAGGTTTACAATGAATATTTTTCATCATTCAGCAGATAAATAAATATATGGATTCTTTGGCTTTTCTCTGATTTCTACACTTATTTCTATATATACGTATAATATAATCTAAGCCAAATTTAAACAATAAAGTTTTTTTTCAAATGATAAGAGCAATTAGATTAGAAAAAAGACCCAGTAAGAAATGCAAACATCCAACTTTTGCCAGATGAAATACCAATTACACAACTTGGATTTCATCCCATCTCCTTTAGATTTACAGTGAGTGATTGGTTAATGAATAGTTCGGATAGCGAACAAATCGGATAACAAACACTTTCGCAAAAGATTTTTATGATCAGATAACGAACACTTTTGCAAAAGATTTTTATGATCAGATAACGAACACTTTACTGAACAAACAACAAGAAGAATGAATAATGAATACCAATTGATTTTCCCTTGTCTTCATGTAACAATTCAAAACTATTCGAAGTGCAGGAGACGTCAACATCAACGCTCAACCCGATACTGATCGAATAGTTTTCCTCCAAATTTTGAAATTCCCTTGTAATTCCTGCTTTTTGTTTACCTTTCTGACAAATAATTTTTTATAGTCTTCACAAGACTGTCAGACGGGCACTTGTTAAGTTTTGCATCAGGGTTTATTTATGAAAGGTGAAAGTTTAACTATCCTGTCGGATATTTGTTAATGTTTTAATAGTTTTAATACCAAATTTTGAATTTCATCCGGGCCTTGCATTTAAATAGCATTTTGTGGGCTAGTTGATTTCTGTTCTCTGAATTTTTGTAAGTGCTTTTCTGAACTTCATAATATTATCAGTTTCTTTTTTAAATATAGAGCCTAAAAAAACGAGTGTCAAAACCTGTGCTCACCGTAGAAACCATATAAGAGATAATAGCCAAGGTAGAAAGTGCGCACAAGATGTCTGATGTTGTTAGGTAGTATGGCTTGAACAGGTCTACAGTAGGCACAATCTTAGCTATGAAAGATATATCAAGAAGTCTGAAGCTACTAATGAAGTAATGAAAATCACATCTGAGAAATAAAGAGCATTTTGCTTAAAATGAAATCTGAAACTGATCTGACGACAGAACTCCAAGAAGTCTCAAATGAAGAATACCAAGAAACTTAGCGAGATGTATTTTCTTTTGAAAAAGAAGAAGGCGAAAGAGGACCAGTGTCAACATCTGCTACTAAAGATCTTTTGAAGAAGTGGGAGGATGTCAGAACAACGATCATCCAAGTGGCATCCAAACCAGAATAAAGTTAATGGGGTTGGGATCTCTACAATTACAATACTATTAATTACTTCCAAAAAATCCTGAAGAAAAGAGAAAAGCAATCGACATTGGACAGATTCTTTAACCCCCACAAATGGAAAAAACATGACTAATAAAAATGCAAGACTGCATATATATGTATTTTTACTATTACATATAAATAAACATAGTAAAAAAGTATAAAGGAGAAGGGGTATTACGGAACCCCAATTACATTTTAGTGAATTGTAAACAAGGTATCATAACTACACCCACATTTTTTGTGCGAAAAGTACTGGTAACTATTAAACTAAATGTTCCTAATTGGACTTTTTGCTAGCGTAACTATAAGTATGGTTTTTGAAGGCTTTTGTACAAAAAGTTAGAAAGTAGGTTTAGAGAAAATTGGTGGTAATATAGAACTTTACTGTATATTTTCAAAAAATGCTTTAATGTAGCCAAAAACAAATAGGAAAGGACAAAAAATGTTAAATAATTACAAAATTATTTACTCCAATGTATTTTATCGCAAAAATGCTTTTATAATAGAAAAATATGACCTCCATCAACAATATATATT